CCATTTGGGCTCGGATTGGGTTGAATTTGGTGTTGTTGGGTTCGTATTTCCGAGACGCTCAGTTCGACTATAAGCTTGCTGAAATCGGAGTTCAGGTGCTCTCAGAATTAATTTTTGAAGTTTCCAACTAGCTTTTGCCTCGAGATTCGTGCCCAATCAAGCTAATTTTGTGATGACGTGATAAATTTAATTTATTAAACAAAATATTAATCAAATATAAAGTATGTGTAACTAATTTGACTTATAAAGATCTTGAATATTATCAAAATTTTGAATTTTAATTTTTCTTAATAAATTTATATTTTGTATAAAATAATTTTTAATATATAATTAATCATAACCTGCTCTTGCCTGAAAAGTATATTAAGATAGAAATTAATTGATTTGCATATACTTTTATTCAACTTTGATACTACCACTAAAAGGTTCCAATTAGACTACATTAGGGATAACTTTTTGTCATTATTTTTTATCTATTAATTTAATTTTTATATTAGAAATTTACTTTTAAAAATAATAAAAAAATCATCCCAAATAAAACCCTAAAGTATGACTCGTCTATTTTTTTATTGAATTATTTTAAGATGCGAAGCTATTTAAATGCCGTTGTAAACTAAAAACTAAAGTGATAAAATCTTAAGAAATTTTATTTTAACCATACAAATTCTAATGTCATATTTATATTAAAAAGTTTCAGAATTAAATAAAAAATTATCTGAAGTTTGATTTCAACAAAATTATTATCAAAGTAAGCATCTTGTCAATATAATCCAACAAAATCACTAATTTTAAATCTTACTTGTTTGTAGTCAAAATGATCAGAATAATCTAACAAATCTAAATTACTTAATTTTTGGGTCATTAAAGTACCTAAATACTGAATAAGCGGAATACTTTAATAGTTCATTTCAATTTCTACTCGATCAAACTGTTTATAATTTTATTAGAAAGATTTATTGTACAATTCTGCTGATCTTTTTGCATACTTGTATTATGTCATATCACAAAAAAAACAAAATGAATTAAATTTGCCAATTGAATGTTGAATGCCTTGAGGTTTTAAATAGTTTGAATATAATTTTACAATGATGACAGTGAGAAACACAAAACAAGTAAGTCAAATTTATTAAATTAGGTGTTAATCACATCATATTTCAGGCTTTGAATCATATCAAAGCAAGCTACAAGAACTAAATAAAAAGAGTTGAGATATTACAGCTTAAAACTTATGACAACCTCAGAACAAAACGAATGATATATAGCTACTGCATCATATTATGTTGTAAGCTCTAAGCTTCTGTTGAAATCCATATTGTCAATGGTTTACCATCTACTCCGTGGACGAAGATTGTATTTTCTGCATGCAGAGCTCGTAGTCATGATGGAATTCTCAGCAACTTCTTCTGGCAAAGCATAATTAGGATCAACATCCATGTCCACATCTTCGGGCAATTCCTCATCAATCCATGAATATCCACTCCAACTTGTTTCGCTCTCGTCATCAACGCACAAGTACTTATGCCCTATCACAAGGAAAGCTACAATCAATTATTGTGTAATATTCAGAAGGTTCACAACTTATAATGAAAAATAAGAATGTTAAGCTCCATGCCTGAGTTTTGCTCCATGACGTGAACCTTTTGGAGTAAAATTTGTAGCAATTGATAGTTTAAAATCTCATAATCTCTGCAAAGATCGTATCAAAATAGAGTCATCAGGTGCAAGGTAGCAGTAGTAAAAAAGGTTCAAAATTGAAGAAGATTGAGGCATTTGCTTGTACCTGAAAGTAAAGATGGAATGAAGAATAAGAGTGGACGCAACAACTAGAAATGATGATCTTGTCATCCACACTTTCGACATTACCCAACTTTGTTGATTGGAGTTGATAGAACTATATCTAATAATAGCAATTTCAACTACAAATGTGATGCAAAGTCCTATGAATGAATTTGCAGAAGACATTGTAAGTCATTATTACATAAGAAGAATCATAATATCAATGGGATTTTTTAAAGAAGTTCACCTAAGTAGAGACGAGCTCTGATGCCGAAGGTCTGCTTCGCACTGGTTAGCATATAAAGGAGAAAGATCACACACGAGTAAAAGAAGAATGCTTTAATGAAGCGAGATTCAGTTAGCAGGGCATTCTGGAGCAAAAAGAGCTTTTCCAAGGCTGTAAAAATATTTGCTTGTTTCATTTCAAACTCTTCCTGCAATCAAATATTTCAATCACAACTTAGTATTTCGACCCGCGGCATAATACTTAGGCAGAGGCGTATCCAAGATTATAGATGATTAAAAATTGGATTAAATATCGTAATCAAAGAGCTATATCTGCCTCCAATTATAAGAATGAGCAAAATCTAAATCAGATTGAGTTAAGAAAAGAATAAATTGAAGCATATATATATATAATGTATGAATCAATGAATGTATGTACTCTTTAATTATGGTGTTAGATTCGAGTCCTGTAGAGATGGGAAAAATGAGTTTTGAGTTTATTTTGGTATGTGGATTTAGTTCTTGATAAAGTGCTGAAAACACTTTAGGAATCTGTCATATAATAATTATTATACATGAAGCAAGAAATTTCTTACCTTGATGATTAATTTTATAGAGAGATTTTTGCTTAATTATAAATATAGGATTGTAAATATAAATCACACGAGTATAAAAGATTAAATATAAAAAAAACCTGGGCGGAGAGTATGGACTGTGAATTTTGGATGAGTCGGTCATGAGCCTGTTGAATCTGATCTTGCCTTCTCAGTAGCTCCTCCTGCTGCTTGTGTCCAAACTCTGCTAATTTTTTGAGATTATCCCTAGCAAAAATTTTAATAAATTTAATCAAAAGTTAGCAAACTAGGTCCTAAAACTATTAAAAATAATAAGAAAACAAGAAAAAGTAAAAGATACCGGCTTTCTTCAAGAGCTCTAGATTGAAATGTTGTGAGGAAATCCAAACCTGCCAGAGCTGCTGCTTGCCCGTCAAGCAACTTCTTTTGTTTCTCCAATGACAATCCCGCAACACTACCGATATCATCCGCAGTACTTTGAAGATTTTGCATGCTGGAAGTCATGGAATCCCCGACCTTTCTTATTTCCCTGTCAATCTCTGAAGCGTCACTCTTTAGTTTCTTCATATCATCTCCCAAGTTCTTGTAGGATTCCTGAAGCAAAGTCATCCCTGACTCGATCCTCTCTTTCATCTCTTCTTGTCGATCCCTGAGGTCCAATTGGGATGCTGAAATCTCCTTTGATTGTTCAAAAATCGCCTCAGAGTTATTCAGAACATCACGAATTTGAGCCTCCACATCCCTTGAAGCATCTGCCAAATTCCGGGTCTGAAACTCCACCGAAGTCAAGGAATCATGTATCTTGATGGAATCCTGCAACAACTCTTCTGATCTTTCTTCAATTACATCCAATTTATCCTCTACTGATCGAGCAGACTTCACCAAGTCATTGACCAATCTCTCCGTATTGTGCCGGAATGCATCGTTTCTGAAAGTAAACGTATCAAATTCTTTTAAAAACTGGATAATCAAAGAAGATGAGTAGGGAATTTTATTAATAAAAACTCAACTGTAATTGGTGGCAGATGGAGTTGGTTTCGAGATAGAACTCAAGAAATACTTTGTGCTCTGCATCATCTAGTTTCTTAAGGCATTTCATCATCGGCCCGGCGTCATTGCAGGACGGGAATCCTTGTCTCCCAGAATCCAATTGGAAACAGTCACTGAGCATCCATGCCAGCTTTTCTTGTTTCTCGTTACTGGAGATTATCTCCGCACAGCTAGAGAAGAGCTGGTTGTAAGCTCTGTGCCAGCAACTGTTTGGCGTTGCAAGCTTCCTCCTTGCTTTCTCCAAAAGCTTCGTAGCCTTGGCATCATCATGGCTGCCTATGGAGAAACTTCCTTTCGTTTCTTTTTCAATAAAACCCTCGCCGAGTTGTTTATTCGCGCGGGGTGGGGGATGAGGAGACGAAGAGAAGGGCCACGAAAAGCCAAGGGTCGTTGTATAGAAAGACAAACAGAGGATGAGCAGAAGACCAAAATAATGTGTTGGCTTCATCACAATGAAATAAAAGTTGCGAACTTGGAAGGAAGAGGGCCCAACTTATAACCTGCAACAACCAGACAATGAACAAAAATTCCAAAATAAGCAGCCTGCATAAAAGGAAATGTATCTCTTCATAGATTTTAACGAACAGCTATGCACATCAAGGTGAATGACGCTGCATTGAAACGAGGGAACAGAGTAAACATGGAAAGTTTTGAAAGGCTCTGAAAACTCTCCAAGTTCAGCCTGAGAACAGAATAAAAAGGAAATTTCTTTGCTTCCTCTAATTTCATTTCCTCATAATAACAACGCATGTAGTTAATAAAACTTACCTCAACAGAGACAGAGACAGAGAGAGTGAGAGAGCCGGCGGCCGGCGGGCGTTAACGAGATGAATGCGATAATCCTTGTTTTTTATTGACAACAGGCGGTGATTGGGGGCGTTGGGTCCATCAGCAGGGGCGCGTTTCCTCGCTTCGCTGAATCTTTTCTTCCTCGGCACGAAACGGCGAAGGCTTTCGGGATACGATGGAGCATATCTGGACGGTTGTGAACATATAAAAAAAATAAAAAATTCTGGACGGTTGTGAACATGTTGTCACCTCCGGTGAGTTACGCCCATCTTTCTTCGTAATATTGTGCCAATATTTTTAGGATTTAGATAAATAGCATTTAAAATGATATAATTTACATATTTTATATTTAAATTTAACTAATTATGTCCCAACAAATACTAAATATGCCATTTATCATCTTCCTAATGTAATGAAGTTTGGATATGTGGGAAAAGGAGAGAACATGGGAAAGAAAGCATGAATCTAGATCGATACGTCATCGAAAAATTATCTTGATCGGGCACAAATCTCGAGGCAAAATCAAGTTTGAATCCAAAATTAAAATTGGAACCATCTGAACTCCAATTTCAGCAAAACAGTCGAACTGAGCGTCACAGAAATATGAACCCAACGACACTAAAATCGACTCAATCCGAGTCCAAACGGATCCAAATCAAGGGTCTGAAGCGTTGTTGGAGGGTTCGAACCGCAATTTGGATTACCAACCGGTTTCCAAACATGACGTGCTTATAGTCCAATCGAGCGGCTCGACGAAACAAATCCGACGAGCCCAAGATCACTAAATTTAAACATCACTAATTAAGGCATACATATGTCCATCAAATGGTCCACCCTCAACAGATTCAACATCGGTCGTCCATCCAAGCCACTCCCAATATGCCCTTGATCTACCACCTATTTACGGGTCATGCCACTCTAGAAAATCTATAAATAGACCCCTCCTCCCTCTTGAATGGGAGACACCAAGCCAAAAGGATTCAAGAGAGAGATTGGAGATCGTTCTTGCCTCCTTGCTCCTCCTCGACCACCACCTTAGTTCTGCCGAACCACCGCCTGACGTCGTTGCTCCACCAGGACCACCACTTGAGGCCCTGAGCTCCGCCGGACCACCGCATGAGGCCCAAAATTTTGCCTGATAGCCACTTGAGGCCCTCACCTCCACCGGACCACCACTTGAGGCACTGAGCTTCGCCGAACCACCACCTGAGGCCCGAACTTCTGTCGGACCACCACCTGAGGCCCGGACTTCTATTGGACCACCACCTGAGGCCCGGAGTTTCGCCGGACCACCACTTGAGGCTCGAACATCTACCTGACCACCACCTGAGACCCGGACTTCTGCTGGACCACCACCTGAGGCTCGGACTTCTACTTGACCACCACCTGAGACCCGGACTTCTATCGGACCACCAACTGAGGATCGAACTTCTATCTTACCACCACTTGAGACCCGGACTTCTACCGGACCACCACCTGAGGCACAAAAATTTCTGCCGGACCACCACGACGCTCGGACTTCTGCCGAACCACCACTTGAGGCCCGGACTTCTATCGGACAACCACCTGAGGTTCGAACTTCTGTCAGGCCACCACCTAATGCCCAAAGTTTTACCATAATACCGCCTTACTACAATGATCTTTTTGACCCCAATCTCCGGCCAACTAAGGTCTTTTGGACCCCTGTCTACTACCGAAGTACAGATTATGATCCTTTCAACCTCCGTCGCCTACTACGGTCCTTCGGACCTACATCACCAGACAACGGTCATTCTTACCTCGATCTCTTGCATACTACGGTCCTTCCTACCCATGCACAGAAAAATAGAAATAAAATAAGCGACTTATAAACTAAGCCAAATGAATAAATACAAATCACAAAAGACATAAAACTTTTGCATGAAAAATCATAACAAGAAAAAGGTGAAAATTTATAGTTGATACGTCATCACAAAATTATCTTGATTGGGCACGAATCTCGAGGCAAAATCAGTTCGAAAACTTCAAAAATTAAATTCGAGAGCATATGAACTCCGATTTCAGCGAGCTTATAGTCAAATTGAGCGTCTCGGAAATACGAATCCAACTACACCAAATTCGACCCAATCCAAGTCCAAATGGGTCTGAATCAAGGACCCAAAGCGCTATTGGAAGGTTCAAACGACAATTTGAGTTACCAAACGGTCTTCGATTTTAACGATCTTATACTCTAATCGAGCGGCTCGACGAGACGAATCCAACGAGCCCAAGATCATTAAATTCTGACATCATTAAGACCTTCAAATGTCCAATAAATGGTGCATGATCAAAGGATTCGATATTGGCCGTCCATTCAAACCACATCCAATTCACCCATGATCTCACGCCTATTTATGGGCTATGCGACTCCAGAAAAACTATAAATAGAGCCCTCATTCTATACAAAGGGGGACTCAAGTGAATAGAGAGAAGAAGAAGAGAAGAAGGAGGAGAAGGAAGAAGCTCCTCCTCGACCACCGCCGGAGCTCTTCCTGCCACCCGAACACGCGGGGATTATGCGTGATATTCGAGAGAACGCAGGAATTCTTCCCAACTTCCACGTGATGCTGAAATTCTTCCCAATTTGCAGCATAGTTCCCTTCTGACGCTGAAACTCCGCCCAAGTGAAGCCGGAGTTCTCCTCTGCTACCAACAGACGTCGGACTTCTACCCGACGTCGAACCTTCACTCTTCGCCAAGTTTATACCCGATGCCGGACTTCTACCGTTTATCGGACTTCGCTGGACGTCTACGCGAAGATGGATTTCTTTCCATTGTTGGACTTCTACCTGACGCTGTCCTTCTGATCTTCGTCGTCAGACTACAGTCTTTCCGATCTCCGTCGCCCACCGATTACGGTCCTCCTGACTTATGTCGCCCGCCAAATACAGTTCTTTCGACCTCCGTCGCCTGCCGACTACGATCCTTCTGGCTTATGTCGCCCGCCGACTACAGTCTTTCCGACCTCTGTCGCCCACCGACTACGGTCCTCCTAACTTACGTCGCCCGCTGACTACAGTCCTTCCGGCCTCCGTCACCAGCCGACTACGGTCCTCCTGACTTACGTCGCCCACCGACTACAAGCCTTCCGACCTCCGTCGCTCGCCGACTAAGGTCCTCCTGACCAAACGAACATGTCAATAGTGATTCTTTGTATTCATATAATGTAATGTACTATATAAAATGTACATCAAGCTAAGGCCTTCTCCCAAGGAAGGGCCTCATTTGTAATCGACTGCAATACTAGTGGATTCATTCAAACTGGGCTAGGCCCCGTGGTTTTTCCCCCTTTTTAGGGTTTTCCACGTAAAAATTTTTGGTGTCTCATAAATGCTAGACCCTCTCTCTTATCTGATTGCGTGCCGGATTTTCGTACAACGATAAGACGATATACTTTATTTCTCTACCGCCGCGAATACTCCTCGACACAACAATAGTGTCTAGCTCACTTAAAACAATCACATTATATAGGCTGAAAGTTATAATGATTTGCTCTATTTATGTTCAAAGAATACTTACCATAAGACAAAATAATAGAAGTTGGCATCAGTCGGTCATTAATAACAACAAACAATGGACGACGACGCTCAGTTGTGGATAACGATGAATAGTGGTCATCAGCATAGTTTGATGGTAGTTGAAGATCAACACAAGTAAGGCCTCATTGAGACGAATTAATTTTATCTTTTTTGTTTCGGAATGACACAATTATTTTTTGGTTGTCATTTATATGTGACGCTTTTGTAGAAATACAGAACATCATTTTTCTACACTTTTGATAAGCTTTTTGACATTTGCTTCTTCGGTGAAAACCTCCGTTTCCTCAACTAATATTTCCAAAACTATCTTTTACCAAAGATATCGGATAACCAAATGAAGCCTAAGTGATGTCGGTAGCAATTAAAGCGGGTGTTTGCAACGAGCATCGAAGGTGATTGAAAGTGACAGCTGATGGTTTTGTGACTTTAGTCCAATGGAAACATTAGCAATAGTTGAAGATAATTTTAATTGGTTGTCAATGACAGATCAAGGACTTCGGTTTAGTTTAGTAGAAAGTAACATTAGGTTCAATGCTTTTGTAAGTGGGCAAATTATTATGTGTGGATGACGAACGTCATCCAGAGACCAACCGGAATGTGCCACATCAGCCCCGCTTGGTACCATGGCTCGGTATTGTGCTCAGTACCGCTAGGTACCGTGCTCGGTACTACTGACGTGGCGCATTCTAGTTGGTCTTTGGACGATAAACTGCGTTTTCGGCGTCTGCACAGAATAATTTCTCGTGTCAGTGTGGGTGTTGATGGTGAGAGATTGTGGGTGAAAGGATGAATGTCAACAGTTAATGGCATTATGTTGATCAACAATAGATGATTTATGTTAATAAATAGAACTCTAACTTTCCGTGTCATAGAATTCTTTCCTTTGATTACTTCACCGAATATGGGAAGATGCCATGATTTAAACTTTTGGAAGAGTATACTATTCCTTTTAACAAGAATTTAGAATACCCCATTGGACAGTAGAAGTTGATACCCTTAAACACTAAGTTGTATTTAAACATTTTAATCCCTCAATGAAAAATCAAAATTGTGTGATATTTATATCTTTAGAATCGTCTCGTAAAAATGCTCGTTTTGATTAGTAGATATTAAAATTTTAGAGATTGCTTTGTCCCACAAATCAAATATACATTTGAGATTCAGCTCCAATTGAGTTTGGATCAAGATATTCTAGGCATTATTAGGTCAATATAAGTGCAATCTTCATTATTAATAGATCAAAACCAATGACGCCAGGTGAAGCTTTATTATATTGTGTCATATACTTCATAAGTGACTCATTCTCTTTAAACTTGATATTAAAATGAGTTAACATGGTTTTTAGAGCTTGAATGGTGGATAATTTTATCAGAAACTCTAATGGGAGTTCATTGAATGAAGATAGACTAGTAGAAATAAATCGGGAATACCAATTTAGAGCTTTTTTTTATTTTATTTTTAACTCAACGTTTAGTTGCATAAGTATTAGTGAATAAAGACAACATCTATGTAACAACACCCAAGGTCCCAAGATATAAAAAAGCATTTTAAAATGAACATTTTGAATTTCTTTTTGAACTAGAGAGCTTTGGCGCCAGACTTGAGAGCAAAACGTTGCTCGAAACTGTCACCGCAGCATTGAAGCCTCTGTTCTACACTAATTACTGATTCAACATGTGACATTGCAGTGCTGGGTCGGAGCACAATGATACTAAGCCACTAATAGTACTTTTGTATGTATGTTATTCTAAACCTAAGCAGTAAAGCAGCACATCCTCCGTCTTATATCAATTGTTTGTCGTGGAAGATGAAAGGGATAAGGGAGAGAAAGAGGAGAGAGGGAAGAGAGAGAAATCATGTTTTAATCATTTTCATATGTTATTTCAGTTAGAAAAAAGTCTTATGATCATTGTAAGTAATCCGAATATCACTTTAATTTTTCAATGATTTTGAGTTTAACAAATTTGAACTCTCCTAAATCGATAAAAACAATTTTTCTCATGATTTACGATACTTTTACTATTTAACTTTTCGTATATGATAAATACAACCTTTACGGATATTTTCACAGTAATATTATTAAATTTTACTGGTTAAAATGAAATTGTGATTTTTTTTTTTAAACTATCAATTATAATACACATTTTTCTGGATTTATAAATTTTAGCATTTCATACATGAATGGAAGATTAATACAACTGATATAAAATAAATATAGTATTTATATGTTAACAAGGAAGACTGAATGTTAACACTATAATTTGAGTTGACAGTTAAAATATAATACACTGCATAGGAGGGTAGGCCAATTGTCTTTTCTTTAAAGATAGTTTGTGGTGTTGTCCTGATTATAGCCTGTAATTAATGATCAATTACACTGATGGGCAGAGAATGATGACTCTTACTGATTTATTTAAAGCCACCTATAATAATAATGGTATAAATAATGATAATAAAGATGATATAATGTTGCAATGAATAGATATAAAAGAATAAAAATATCACATTAAAGCTAGATGTAATGCCTTAATGAACCATAGATTGATATAATTTATACATTGATAGTATTGATAGATACATAGAGAAGTGAATTCATTACATATACTGATTTCATGTACTAATTTCATATAATAGATAATTGATAAAAGGGTAATACTAATAAAATTAACAGTAGTATGTTTATGCAACAATATTGATTTATTAATTGCACGTTTCACACTATTGATTTATAAATTGAAACATGTTGATTCTAACATTTCGTTATTATTCATACTGAATTGTACAAGTGATGACTGAGTATTAAATAATATTGATTCTGTTGACTGAGATGAGCATGTATATTGATTTTTTAGATCTTCTATTGAAAGCTTAAGCTAGTTTTGAGTTTTGTTAGATTTTATAAGCTCATTACGTGATTTTATTGATTTTAAATCAGAGAATGGGGTTGGGACCATGTGGAGTGAGAGTGTGAGACCAATTGAGATTCTCAAGTTCTTCTTTTGATTTTGTTTTGTATTTTCTTTTATTCTTTTGTAGTCATGAGCTATTGATATATTAGTGATTTTTATTAATCTCATAGCTATTGTAAATATAATTTTGGTGAATGAATATAGAGAAATATTTCAAGCTTTTTGATAATTAATTGCTTTCGCTAGATATTGAATTATATAGATAATTTATAATAGCTCTGATAAATGATTAAAAAGATAAAAATATCTCTTTTTTCTAAATTAGATATTGGATTGTGATAATCTATAAAGGCATTGATGTACTTAATCACTTGGCTTGATTCCCTTAAAATATCAAGTTGAGAGAATTTTATGGGTTGTTTGATTGTGAGCATTATGATTGTCAAATAAAAGATTTACTTACGTATTTTCTATTTTATGTTAGAAAAAGCAAATGCATTATAAATTTTTAAGGACTTTAAAATGTCTTAAAATGCATATTTTTAATAGAAATTGCTCATATCAATCTACTTTTTTTTATATTCTTTGGATGGTCTTCTCTCTACACAATGGGCATAATCACTATAATTATATTCCTCTCTTTCATCTTCCTTTGTATGTACTCTCAAATTAACAAAGATTTTTGTCTTACATATGAGCTCCATCACCATCAGGGGCGGAACCAGCTTCAATTTTGAGGGGGGGAAAATACAATACAAAAATAATTAAATATTAAAAAATGTTATATATATATATATAACGAAAATTTATTTTAAAAAAGTTAAGAAAGAAAAATAAAGAAAAAATGTGTAATTAAATTGTCATGAAAAACATCAAAGAAAATATTAGCAGTGGCGGAGCCAGAAAATATATTTAAGGGGGCCTAAATTATTTTTTTTTTAAGAGGACACATCAAAACAAATTGAAATAAATAAGGAGTATGCAACTGTATGCTTCAGAAATCCTTGCATAAAGTATAAAAGATATCTGCACTTAATAAATTCTCCTACAAAAAGTTTGGAATAGCTGCAACTTTCTATTAAGTTGATTGTAAAATTGTTCTAAAGAAAGCAACTTACAATTCTGAATGTAAGAAATAACTTCTAACTACAAATTTTTTAAAAATAATAAAAACATGACAACCAAATAAAATTATTATTATTATCTAAAAAATAAAGCAGCAAGAAAATTATCCCAAATAAATCCTAATTATATAATATTTATTAAAGTTATATGATATTTTTATCAAATTTTTTTAAAAAAATAGCATGTGAATTTTAATTATATTTAAATAGCATGAAATTACATATGTAAATAAATTAAAAAAAATAATAAAAATAATAGATTTAAAATATATGATAAAAGAATAAATTATAAGAGAAAAAAAGTCTCATATTAGAAGTGAAAAAAGTCACAGGGGAATTCCCCCCCCCCCCCCAGGAACCTATGGTTCCGCCAATGATCGCCACTAAGGACACTAAGTTATCTCGCTAGATTGCCCTTTCCCTCTATAACCCCTTTGATTGTCAATTCCTTAATAACAATTGGATGCCTACCTAGCTGGTCATCCATCTATCCATGAGCTATAATCATGGCCTTGCCCCTCTTTAGATGTATCAATTAAGCATAATAATTTATGTGGAGAAGTTTTGGCATATTATAAGAGACCGGAAATTCGAAGTCGTTAAAGTTTTGAGGCAGATAACGAATTCTTAAGTGCCAGGAAACAATTTTGTGAGCCTATTTTAAGAAATTTTAAAAGATGCTTCACAATATTTTTTTATGGCTCGTTTACTAGTTTTGGGGGTGCTAATTACAATTTAAAAGGCTTTATATTTTAATTTTCATAGTCTTTGGAATACTAACTAGTTTATTTATTATTGATCTTTCATGTGCATAGGTCTTTATTTGTCATGTGATCTGTAATGTAGAATGCTATGATATATTACTTATTTTTGTAATTTAGAAATAAACAATGGACACATCTTTGAAACTTACATAATGAGCCATATCATTTCCATCTATTTTTGCATGTTGAATGATGTGGATGGTTGGAGCTCACATCATAATTCTTCTCTACTCGACTACTCGTCATTCTCACCCGTTTACTATTTTATTCTCTCAATCTTCATAGACCTTGCAATTCACAATCTCTTTTTGTTTGTTTATTTGGGCTCCGATTGTAACATTTATACGTAACTATAAATTTGTTAAAATTGAAGCTCGAATGATCGATCGTGAATTGAATTCTAAATATTTTCAATCCAAATGTGTATTAAAATTCGTGCCACATCAAGTAATTTTATAACTCATCAACAGTAATAAAATATAGGCTAATATATTTCTGTTGATAATAAAATATTGAATGATTATGACGACTTCATCTACACCGTTCAGTGGAGTACGGGTCATCGGACGGTTATGAAACCTTACGAACCAATTCGGTCGAAGAAACGTTGGGTCTTTAACTGAACTGTAACGGCCCCGCCGTCATCAGGCAATCAGTCCAGTACGCCACGTCAGCAACCAGCACGGCCGAAGCACTCGTAACAGTCTTCGCCGCGTGGTATCCATCTTGTCCGTACTTTTCAGTAGCGGAAACTACGCCTCAAATGATATTCCATCACTGCGATGAGCCGTCAGATCTATTTGAGGAATCCGACTAGTCAGCAGAAAAGCGGAAAATATGCAGACTGCACGAATTTCGGAAATGGCTCAGTATAAAGCCAGTTGCTGTTGGCTTTGCGTCACTTCTTTGGTCTCTCAGTTGCTTGAGATTTTCTTTGTGAAAGAAAAGGCGGCAGCGTGATCGTGATAGCTCAAGAAGACCGAAATTGTTGCAGGCGGCGGTGGCGACGGCGGCGGCAAACGGCAAAGGGATCGCAAATGCCGTCGGCGGTGATCTTGGATCCGACGGCGAAGAGGAAGCAGAGATCGAAGATCTATGGCTTGAGGACGTTCATGGACCCCGGGTGTCCGACATATTTCTTTGGCGCCTTTCGGGACAACATCAGAGAGTTTCTCCGTCAATGCAGCGACGTCGAGCAGAGGTCGACGGAAGGAATGCCGACATGGTGCACGCTTCTTGTTGACGAGAAGACCGGCGTACTAATCCCCCTATATACCGTGGAAGAGTGTGTTCGCCGCTCGCGCCACCCGTTCTGCGAATACTGTCGCTGTTGCGGTTAGTTTTGCGCCACATTTTTTTCATGTGTTGGGTTTTTTCGATCTCGAACGCTTTCCGGGATCGCTGAAGAATTTGTGTCTCGTCAGCGATCTTTCGATGTGCATTGTTTCTCTATGTCTTTCTCCTCTCCTCTGAGACGGGTTTAGCTCTGTGACTTCGCTGCAATCAGCTAAAATCGGGGGATCTTTCCTCTATCAATGAGCGATGGTTTTCTCACTGAAGGGACCACTGATATCTTCGGGGGATCCCACAATTTAATTGTTCCACTCACGACTTTTGATGCACATTTTACACCAAGATTCGTGCGTGGTTTCGTAACCCCCTTCTTTGCTGGGCGAAAGACTAAGAAAGAGTCGAGAATGAATGGGTTAGCAATAATAATTTCTTGACTCGAAGGAGACGAGGGCTTTCGTTTTTGGTTAATTTTAGTTATGGCGCTCTTTTACTGATGGAAATTTGATTTATTGTTAGGTTGGAGTCACCATTTGGTGTCAAGGACGAGGTACCACATGATAATCCCAGCCGACGACGATTGGGACAAGCCCCTGAACCAGGACGCTTGCCTTCTCCATAACCACCTCCTCCACGGCCTCCTTCATTGTAACGGTTTCGGTCATCTTCTTTGCATCAACGGCCGTGAAGGCGGCTCAAAGTTCATCTCCGGCCACCAATTCATGGACCTTTGGGACCGCCTCTGCACTTCCCTCCAAGTCCGGTATTCATGTCTACCTAATCAATTTTTCATCCGAATTCGAATAATAAGATAATTAATAACTTTTTTCTAACTTGACAACAGGGAAGTGACGGTGGTGGACACATCTCGCAAGAAATCGATCGACCTCCGGCTACTACTTGGAGTCGCCTATGGATCCCCTTGGTTTAGCCGCTGGGGCTACCAATACCGAATGGGGAGCTTTGGTGTTACGGAGAAAATTTACGCCCAAGAGCTTGAACATCTTTCATCTCTCCCGCTTGATACGCTTGTCGCGGACAGCGCTATGGCCGGTCGTAGCTGGGACGTCAGCCGCATCATCGCCGTCCACCGCAGGCTGTGCTGGTCCAACCACTGCGAGCTCGCCAACGTCCGCGACCTCCTCCGCTACCTCCTCAGCCTCAAGAACCGACCCGCCCCTAATCCTTCTCTGCCACCGCCGCCATCCAGGCCGCAGACGAAAAGATCGGCTGCCGCGCAAAAGCAAAAGCGATGCCGAGACTTTGACACGGTGGCTGCGGAGCTGGAGAGCCGGTGGCCAGTCAGAAGGCTCCGCGTGGCCGCCGAGGTGATCGTTGACGCTCTCTTGGAGCACGGCGGGATGACGCGGCAGGAAGTCCGCGACGCCGCACGCCTCACCATCGGCGACACCGGTCTCCTCGACTTTGTACTCAAGTCGCTCGGCAACTGCATTGTGGGTCGCCACGTTGTGCGTCGAACATCCAACCCCGCCACCCGCGTGCTTGAGTTCCGCTTAGAGGAGATTCCAGATGCCGGTGGGGTAGACGAGGAGGAATCAACGGTGACGGCAGCATTAGGTATGGGGCAGATCGAGCGAGAGCTGGAGGTTGTTTGCCAGGCATTAGTGGCAGCGCGACCGGAAGCAGCACGGGCGGTTCTGGACGGTAAGCACTGGATAAAAAAATTCCCACTAGTTGACGACAACGATGACCGATTGCGGTTTCTGTGCAAGTGGAGTCCAAGCACGAGCGAAATGAAGAAGTTGACGCGTCCCTTGCCGCCGCCAGAGGTGGTGGTCGTGGAGGCGCACGCATCAGTTGGGGATTTGCGTGGGGAGGCAGAGAAGGCGATGAGGGAAACCTATTGCATGATGGAGGGGTTCCGGTTGTGGAGGGTTGATGGGGTGGAAGGTGAGGAATGGGATCCGGTGATGGTTGGCGGGGCTGAATCCGGTTCGGTCGTGATGGTGAGCGGGGAGGGGGCGGACTTGGAATGTGAGCTGCGGTACGAGGGCGGAGCCGACTCGTGGGCTGTGGGGTGCGCGTGCGGCGCGCGGGATGATGATGGGGAACGCATGGTAGCATGTGATAGCTGTGATGTCTGGCATCACACGCGTTGCATCGGCATATCTGATGGCCAGCCGGTGCCGCCGATGTTCCTGTGCTCAAGGTGCGGCTCTTCCATCCTCGGCGCAGCAGCTACTTTCGAGGCCACGTTGGATCTGCACTGGTAGTAGGGGAAGATGAATCG